CACCCACAAAAGCACACACATACATACATACTTATTAGGGCGGGTCGATTTGTAGGATCCCAAAAAAATTAACAGAGGCACATCGCGAATATGATTATTTGAGTCATTTCAAGCATTTTTTCCCATTAGGTCTGAAATGAATTTCGAGCCAGCAATTTTTTCTATCTAGTTTTTTTTTTTTAAGTGGCTCACCTGTTGGAACAGCTGTATTGAAAACTAGCCAAAATGTGTATCTGGTGGTTTTTGGGGTCGAGGAATCCATTTCTGGCATTATTTTTTTCTTTTGAGGGCCGCCAGAGGGCGCTTCCGTAGTTTTTTTTCGGATTTTAACGCCTTTTTTCCCGAAAGTCGACAACATTCTTGCGAAAATCCACGAAATTTGACTTTATCATAATGCAACTCAATTTTTAAATAGTCTAAAATGTTCAGCATTGAAATTTTTTTTTATTTTTTATTTTTATTTTTATTTTTATTATGAGAAAGTCAAATTTAGTGGATTTTCGCAACAATGTTGTCGATTTTCGGAAAAAAGGCGTTCAAATCCAAAGAAAGTACGGAAGCGCCCTCTGGCGGCCCTCAAGAGAAAAAATTAATGCCATAATTAGATTCCTCGGCCCTAAAAACTCCCGATACATATTTTGGCTAGTTTTCAATAGAGCTGTTTCAACAGGTGAGCCACATTTTGAAAAAAAACTAGGTAGAAAAATCGCTGGCTCGAAATTCATTTTGCCTTTGATGCAAAAATTTTGACCCACTCTAATACTTATGCATATTTACGCACGCACAAAAACCGTCAGCCACTTTTCAAACAGCCTGCTTTCTGCTTTCCGGCGACACGCAGCATTCATTCCCGATTCAGCGAAGCATCCGCTCACGCACACACACACACACACACCCAACCGTCCCCCACACGCACTCACGCTCTCACGCACGTTCGCTTCAGGCGTAGTGCCATTAGCAATTTTTTGGGTGCGTATGTGTGGGTTGTTTTTGTACCGCCCTCCCTTTGCCCCCAAACCCCCCCCCCCCCTTAAATCATAGACCATATATGTATGTATACATATGTATGTTTGTACATAAATGTCACCCCGCCCACATCACTTACCTCTAGCACAACACCCTCTAGCGTGGGCTGTGATATATTCTTCATGTTGCTGTGATTCAATTTGGGCGCACTGTCGGCACGATTTCGTCCTAATGATTGATTTGATGTTTTGTTATCGGCTTTGCTCAACACAGAATTATTTGAGGATTTGTGATTTATATCCAGCGTTGAACGTAAAATGTCAACTTTCGAAGCGCTGCCAATGTGACTGCCGTGATGGCGTGGTACGCGTGTCGACTCAACATTATAGCTGCTGCGGCGATGTGACAAATGGTCGTGTATATCCGCCTGCGCGCAGGTGCAGTCAAGAATTGCAGAGAGATGAGGACACATTAAGCCAAAGGCAAGCAAGGTGTTGCGTAAATGGTGTGAAAACACGCAAAGGAAAAAAGGAAGAGAAAAAAATGTAATGAAATAAATTAGAAGGAAATTTGCGCAATTAAGAGGAGTGGCAGAAAAATTCGTGAAATATGAAAATGAAAGTGGAAATGGAAATGATTGCGTGCCACCTACGATAATTGAGTTTACGAGAGCGGGTGGGGCGAGGAAACCAGATTGAATTAAGCAATTTTATTATAGAAACTTTTTGACTTTTTGAGTTCCTCTTAAATTAAAAGCAATAATGAACAATTCCGGTTTCTACTAAGATACAATGGCGGGCATAAAGTTGTGACTTGACGTGGTCTGCGCTTTAAACACACTCAAATTAAATTACCATTCTCGAGCGAAGTGGCATGCAAGTTACAAAAGAAGGCATCATTTACTTACCCTATATCCACGCGGCAATGATGTCAAGCTGCCAATTTGATTGTACTTAATCATCAGGCTGAGACGCTCCAATGACATTGATGTGCCTTGCTCTTTTGTCGCCGGTTCGGTGAGTTTCTCGGTTTCACCATTCTCTACCGCCTCTGCTTCCTCTTCGCAATCATCGAGATTGTGATCGAATTTACGCAACCAAGCCAAATGTAGTAGACCATAGGCAATGCCACCCACAACGGCTAGCAGACCCATATAACGGAAGGCATCGCGTGTACCAAATTGACCGATGAGTAGACCACCGGTAAAGGAACCGCTACCGCGACCTATTGTGAATGGAAAACAAATATTGAAGCGCGATTTTTCAATTTAGTCTGAATGGAAAAGTGTATTGAATCCGTGGATGTTAACTATTTTTTCTGGTAAAAAAAATTCTTCACTCAATCCCAACTATGTGTGCCGAATGTTAGTAAAATCTCTAGGATAATACGGTCTTGGCAATAGCGACGCACCGAAAGGAACAAAGACTCTTAACTGCAAGTCTTTCATCTTGGCTTCAGAGTTTCCCTTAACACAAGATGTTATGCGGATCAAGTCAATTAAATCAAGTTTGCCATTGAGGTTTACGAATCGGTTTTTCCTGACCTTTTTGAACCTTGATTTCAAAAAAGTATATTCAATTTCCAGTCTGTTCCCATTTTGTGATGCCACGAAAAAAAATTGGCGACAGTTCGTCTGTGTGATGAAAAGTAAGCTTAAGCTTCCACTAATTTAATGGCCATGGAGATTGCAGAAGTCAAGTGCTTCGTCAGGAAGCAATATCTTCGGTGATGGGGAGAGAAGATCTCAAAACTCAGGAAATAGAAGATAATCCACAGATAACTGCGGCCTTATAGCAAACAGAAATCCTGAGAGAATTTCTGGTCTACTATAGAATCCACAACAGAATTTTTCGGAATGGGTGGTGCTCCTTTGTAGGTAGCACAGCAATACCAATTTCCTGAAAGGAGAAGACGTAGGCTAGACCAAGAGTTTGAAGGAGACACTAAAACTTCTGCTGCATATCAATCTTCCATGGAAGCGAAGGAACTACGCTGTCCACTCTATAGTTTCGCTCCGTACAAATACCCGGGTCCGGACGAAATCTTTTCCACAATGTTACAGAGGGCCCACTCATTGGCGCTTGCATGGCTGGATAGCGTGGTTTGGCAACATGTTAAAGTAGTGTTCATTTACAATGTAGGCAAACGAATAAATGCTCTTTCTAAGGACTTTGGGCCACACAGTTCCTCGTCATTTATTCTAAAAGCTTTCGTTCAAAGCTGGGATGGTCTTTGCGCAGGATGCTTAACTTAAAAGGGTTCACCACATAAACGTCCAATTATTACATACAGTTCATTGGGTTGGTGGTAAGCCGTAGAGACGAACTATGTACATAGAAGTATGCACACCTTGTTAGGCAGGGTACAAAGATCAGCCTTTATCGCCAATAGGGGGCTTTAGGTCATGTCCAGCTAAAGCCTTGAATATCATCAGTCATTTGTCTCCGATGTATATCTCTATCCGGAGAGTGCTTCAAGGAATTAGCTGAAGGTAAGGGAAGAGCGGCTTGGGAAACAATATATGTACGGGCACGGACGTACCCTTTACTCTTTCAATAACCCATGTATTCACGAAAAACTGACTACATCTAGATTCATGCAACTCGAACTGGAATAAGCATATCTATTTTATTAGATAGCCAGGCGGCCATTAAGGCAATTGATTCCGTAAGTATCACCTCTATCGTAATAAGAAATTCTAAATAATACGCTACGGCTATTATGCTGGATTTGGCATGTCGTATTTTACTGAGCACCAGGTAAAAATATCTTTCGACTGGGATTTCATGGGTGGACAAGGAAAGCTAGGGCTGCAATGAACAAAATGAAAGGACTGATAGCAGAAGGACCCATGTGAAGTGGCAATCATTGGCCAGATATTTAACTAAGTAGTTCTAGTTACATGGCCCCTGCAGTCGTTATCGTGGCCCAGGTAGTCCTCCCCCCTGCTGAAGATCTCATAAACGAAAGAAAGCAAATATTTCATTTATGTTTTCAATTTAATTGAATAAAATCTTTCAAACAGGTGGCATCCCTCCTTAAAAATATGCTCGGCAGTAAATTTTCCTAAACCTCTTCAGTTTGATACCCATATAGCAATATTCGCTTTATCCTATCAATTAAATTAAATTAAAATTTGCAAAAAGGTGGCAACCTTCAACCAAAATATTTTCGGTTGTCAGCCGTTCACACAGCCATATTGCAATAGTTAACTGATGTTATCAATTTACTTAAAATGCAATTTTCAAACAGGTGGCAACTCTCAATTATTTTCTCATTCTATATTTTAAGTTAGACCTCTAGAAATACATCGGAGAAAACTGCATTCAATTCCATGCATTCCTTTTCGACTGATGCGCGTACAAACATACAGACAGACAAACGGACAAACAGACAGGCATACAGACAAAATTCTAAAAATTATTGATTTGGCTTCTGTTGTTCTAATAAAGACCCCCATATTAATTTTTCTTTAATATTTATATTGTACAGACATGCTGATGGGTCTGCATAAAAGGATTTCAATGGAAAGACGCCCCGATGCTTAGTGTTGATTTCAAAAGGCATTAGTCACTGGGTTTTAACGCCGTTCAACTACATAGTCTTGGAAGAAGCACGCCCTCACCTTAGGCTGATTATTGAAATATTCACTGGTAATTATCTTATGGGAATAGTTGTAGGCAGAATGGGCGGTCCAGCATACCAATTCCGTGGAATTTGCCGCCGAGACGAAGAGGAAATCGAAAGCGTCTAGCACTTTTCTGCCACTGATTCGGATAAGCAACTCAACATTAACTTAAGCAACGGTATCTTTAGTATCTTGAGACTACGGCTCAATAGCGACTTCACTTTATAATTTAAGTTGCATTGGAAAGAAAAAACCTATAAATTTCTTCATCCGATTCGAAATACATCACAGATTCCGTGATTCTGGCACTGGTTTCTTCCGGGTGTCAGCTCACACTTCCTTTTCAAAAAACACTTACCCAAACTGAAATGTGCCATGCCCAGTACGCCAATCAATGTAGCCAACAGACTCTTCGGCGCCAAGATGGAGCAATAGGTAGCAGCAGCTACCCACATCAAATGGCAGGAGAGAGCTTCCATTGCCTCGAAGGGAAAACACCACCAAGCATTTCTTAAAATAGAATATAGAATAAATTAAAAATTAGTAAATAAAATGCCAAAGCAACGCCAATCAGAATGACGCCAATCAAAATTAGAGGTACAAACTTACTCAATGAATGAATAACCCACTAGACGGCCAGCATGCGAAAAGAAGGCAATGATAATCAAATTAACATGTCCAAAGATTCGGGTAATGCGTTCAGCGCCATACAAGAACGGTATACTGCTTACCGTACCCACAGTGATGGTGATACCTGCAAAAAATCAAATCGAGCAAATCAGCAAACGAACTACCAAATGCAACGCGCAACAAGCAGCGTCCAATACAAGTACGACTACTATAAATGCAAGTTGAATTGTCACTCGAACAATGAAATTTGATTGCAACTGAATTTCCATTTGATTAGCTATCACTCAAGCAAGCCAAGTGAACAAACAAATGAAACAAACGTGTCCAATTACAAAAAAATTGTACTGAACTTACCAAGCAAATAATTTGGCGCACCCAACTCCTTCAGATATAGAAATAGGAAGCTCTCTATAAAGCCCCAGAAATTGCCCAGTATAAAGAGGAAGAAGATGAATGTAATGACATGCGGCATCTTGAGTAGATTCCACAAATCTCGAAAAACATTATCCGCCGGCAATTTATCGCCCAATGGCATCATTAACACTGACACTGTCGATATAACCAACAACAAATCGTAGGTGTAAAAAGCGGCCGAGTAGTCTGTGTAGCCAAGACCACGCGAAGAATAATCAATCATTATGCCTGTAATTGGCGAAAAAATGGCCATGCCAATGCTGGAGAAAAGCCGCTCACGCCCAAAATCGCCACCATATTTCTCAATCATAGTCAGCGCAATGGGATCCATTATGGTGACACCAGCTGACAGCATTGTGGTGGCAAGGAATCTGTTGAGGAAAAAAAAAATGAAATGCATACATCATTTTATGAAGGTAATTTGCAATCGAATAAAAATATAAATGTTAAAGGTTGAGATAGCAGGGGTCAATGTATATATGTAAACTAAATTAATATTAGTAGAGTTCACTCCTCGATGCTAAAATGCGGAAGGCAAAAAAATTAGCTTTTGTTTTGTTGCTTTGCTGTGCGTTTGTGCGAAACGACGCCATAACAATGCCATATGTATGTTGTAAAAACTTCCGATTTTCGCACTTTCGCTCAAACGCACACCGTTTCGCATCAAAGAGTGAACTCTACACCTTTTCCAACAGTATTTCAGAAAAACACAAATGTATTACAGAAAAGGCCAAATGAAATTCAGAAAAGGCTAAACGTATTTCAGAAAAACACAAATGAATTTCAGAAAAGCACAACTGTATTTTAAAAATATTTTTCTGAAATACATTTGCGTTTTTCTGAAAATCATTTGTACTTTTCTGAAATACATTTGAGCTTTTCCGATATTCATTTGCGCTTTTCTAATACATTTGTCCAGTTTACTCTTCCACTCGAACAGTTGGGCCTTGTATACGTTGCATTATATCGACTTTGTCGCCTGCTCGCTATTTTTGCTGGTAATTAAGCAGTCATGACGAATAAGGCGCTTAGAAATAACAATGGAAAAAAATCTGAAGCCAAATTTGCCTTAGTATCGGGTTTCGATACGAGTATTTGTTTTTTCCAAAATCACTTGGTATCGAACGAAAAGTATCGGGTATGTACTTGTACTCGTGTCATCATCCCTAGTTACATGAGGCGCACAATATCCAAATGAAAGCCCTCGCACACTACGCCTTCCACTCCCACTCCCACAAAAGCACTGGAAATCTGTGAATCAGTAATAGCGAGAAAAATTAATTATTTTGCTGAACTCAGGGTTTATGCGTCCCATTCTGTTCTACATCACGGCATCACAGTTTGGTACAATAAACAAAGAGTGGCATGAAGGGGGTGCATGATGATCACGGTAGCTTTACCATCAACGCCGACTAAAGCCGTATAGACCTTTAGAGCTCGTCGACGCTCGTACCTCCACTATTATTTTTAATGTCTGGTTGAACTGGATTCAGCCAGTATAGAAGATTTTGCTACAAGTTGGTTATACTATTTATAAGGTAAGATCAGCGAATAAAGCAGTCTCTAATATGGCATTACAATGGGCCGATGGTAGTTTAAATGTGCTCTATTCCTTTGCTGGTTGGGGGCATCCAAGATAACCTAACGTCACCTACTTAGTTGCATCGCATGGGTTTGTTGACTAACGATTTTACAGCAACTGTAGATATAGAGTAGGTGAGTAGTATTTAGTAGTAGAAGCGACAGTTTGGGTCAGGTATAAAACAATATTAATACCAAGCCCGGCAACTGGTGGCGGAGGCAGCGGCTCTTGCATTGGCTTAGACCACGGATACAAGTGGCTTCAGCTCCTCAATCTCGAGTGATGGAGCTATGTATGGACTATCATTAAGTAGATGGGCTCGAGCCGCCCGTGAGATTGCTGAGAAATCAGCTTTCATGCTTTAAAGACCTTAACCTGTATTAAGACACGTCCTCAATTCTACGTCTTGACTTAAGGAAAACCAGGAAAAATACCTTTTTGAAGTGAAACTTCTTTAGCGGCGGTTTGTTGGTTGGGAGTAAATTGGCAAATTCAACGGAAATTGCACACGCAAATGGTGCAATGAAAATGGTGTAATGGAAATGATTGGGACTGAAACAAGTGCTTCTTGTGTGTATGCATATAGTATCAATTTTACAAAAGTTTGCTAATAAAAGGTTAAAAAATAACACTTAGAAAAAGACCAATACAAGAATGAAAGCAAAGGTGACTACGTACATAGATAAAGAAAAGGATAAAGGCAAAGGTAAAATTTAAAACAAAAACAAAGAAAACAAAGATGCGTAAAGATAAAGGCAAAAATGAAGACCAAGGTAAATTTAAACACTTTACTTATATGTATATATAAGGGGGCACCCTGAAATTGCGCATAAGGAAACTGCATACGAAATAAATAATGCATATGAAAAAAACCGAAATAATGCATATATGCACAGTTTCTGTTGAAAACCGAAATAATGCATATATGCACAGTTCCGGTTGAAAACCGAAATAATGCATATGGAAAAAAACCGAAATAGTCATACATGAAAACGAACTTCTTTCTACGTAGGCGGCCTTCGGCCGCGCTTAGGGATTATAACCCTTACTGAGTAGAAGTAAATAATTCATATTAGAAAAAAAAACTAGATTATCCATATGCACACTTTCGTTAGAAAAGCGAAATAATGCATATAACAGAAACCGAAATAATGCATGCATGCACAATTTCGGATGAAAAACGAAATAATGCATATGGCAAAAACCGAAATAAAGCATACACGTACAGTTTCGTATGAAACCGAAATAATGTCTAAATGTACAGTTTCCATATGCGCAATGTCGGTGCCCCATATAAGAGCAAAGGTGAAGGGGAATATGTAGATGAAGAAAATGATAAACATAAAAGTAAATAAAAAGAGGCGGATAAGGATATCGATAAGAGCAAAGATGAAGACAGGGGAAGAAAGATTAAAATAAAGGTAATTAAAGAGGAAAGGATATAGAGAAAGACACGGAGACTCAATCTGGGAACTATTTTGGGATTTTAGAGATTTTCGGGATTCTCGGGATTTATCAATAAAATAATCGATAATTTTATCGGTTTTTTATCGATATTTTTATCGATTTTTTATCGAAATTTTTATCTCTATTGTTATCAATTTCGCTATCGATATTTTCGGAACTTATCGATATAATGATCGATAAATTTATCGGTTTAGTTATCAATTTTTTTATCGATTTGTTATCGATTTTGTAATCGGTATTTTTAACTATTTTCTTAGTGATATTTTTTATCGATTTTGTTATCGATATTTTTATTGATTTTGTTATCGATATTTATCGATGTTTTATCGATATTTATCGATTTTATTACGGATATCTTTATCGATTTTGTTATCGATATTTATCAGTTATGATATCGATATTTATCGATGATGATATCGATATTTATGGACTTTGTTATCGATATTTATCAATTTTGTAATCGTTATTTATCGATTTTGTTATGGATATTTACAGATTTTGCTACCAATATTATTATCGATTTTGGTATCGAAATTTTTATCGAATTTTTCATGGACTTTGCTAATGATATTTTGATTTTGTTAGCGATATTTTTATTGATTTTGTTTGGATATTTTTATCGATATTTTTATCGAGTTTCTAATAGATTTTGCTACCAATGTTATTATCGATTTATTCGAGTTATCGATATTTCATTGGATGTTACTACCGATTTTGTTATCGATAGAGTATAAGGATAAAAATGAAGATAAAGGAAAACAGAATAACATAAATGTAATTAGAACGAACAGGGGTAGAGGTAGGGGTAGATGTAGGGATCTATATAGAAAAAAGACAAAAAATATAACCTTAAGCAAAAGCAGACGTATGTATGTATGTACATATGTATGTATGTATATTGGTTATGAGACAAAGTAGATATGTATGTAACGTAAGTTTCACTTCTCCAATGTGGCCCAGGCGCACTTACTTTTTTTAAAATCTGCTCCGCCTTCGAAATGATTAAATATTAGGCGGTTGGGTGAGATTTTTTGTGAACTGTGGTCTTTAATCTGCTCTGGTTTATTCGTACGACGGTGTCTAGTGAATAGGAAAGAAATTGAACGAAAATGGAAGACGCCAGCTATTCTATTCCATTTTGATGAAAAAGTGTCTTCCCCCCATATAAAATACTTGGAAGATTTTATAGGCTTTGAGGCATTTCTAAATATTTTTTTTTTTACAAAAAAAGGTACAGGTATTCTTTTTTCGATTTAGAAATTCTAGGCGGTGAGAGCTTAACATTTAGATTTTTAATTTTTTCCACCCAAATGTACATAAAGGGTGATTTTTTAAGAGCTTGATAACTTTTTTTTTAAAAAAAACGCATAAAATTTGCAAAATCTCATCGGTTCTTTATTTGAAACGTTAGATTGGTCCATGACATTTACTTTTTGAAGATAATTTCATTTAAATGTTGACCGCGGCTGCGTCTTAGGTGGTCCATTCGGAAAGTCCAATTTTGGGCAACTTTTTCGAGCATTTCGGCCGGAATAGCCCGAATTTCTTCGGAAATGTTGTCTTCCAAAGCTGGAATAGTTGCTGGCTTATTTCTGTAGACTTTAGACTTGACGTAGCCCCACAAAAAATAGTCTAAAGGCGTCAAATCGCATGATCTTGGTGGCCAACTTACCGGTCCATTTCTTGAGATGAATTGTTCTCCGAAGTTTTCCCTCAAAATGGCCATAGAATCGCGAGCTGTGTGGCATGTAGCGCCATCTTGTTGAAACCACATGTCAACCAAGTTCAGTTCTTCCATTTTTGGCAACAAAAAGTTTGTTAGCATCGAACGATAGCGATCGCCATTCACCGTAACGTTGCGTCCAACAGCATCTTTGAAAAAATACGGTCCAATGATTCCACCAGCGTACAAACCACACCAAACAGTGCATTTTTCGGGATGCATGGGCAGTTCTTGAACGGCTTCTGGTTGCTCTTCACTCCAAATGCGGCAATTTTGCTTATTTACGAAGCCATTCAACCAGAAATGAGCCTCATCGCTGAACAAAATTTGTCGATAAAAACACATTTCGAACCGAACACTGATTTTGGTAATAAAATTCAATGATTTGCAAGCGTTGCTCGTTAGTAAGTCTATTCATGATGAAATTTCAAAGCATACTGAGCATCTTTCTCTTTGACACCATGTCTGAAATCCCACGTGATCTGTCAAATACTAATGCATGAAAATCCTAACCTCAAAAAAATCACCCGTTACATACATACATATGTACTTAAATTTTTCTTTTGTGTATATTTTAATTTAGCCTTTTGTTTTCTAACGCATTCATTCTAATCTTGCCTTCTTTTTAAGTGCCAATCAGTATTACGTAAGTGAGATAGCTTTTAACCAACTTCACTTTCATCAATACGTACATACTCACACATCCACTCATCCCCAACTACATGCCTACACACTTACCTCAACAAGAAGTAAATCCAGAAAACTCTATCATCTGATTCTTTGTAATCCGGTGGACAAATCTCCGGTGCATTCATTGTAAATATACAACGCTGTACCATGCAGTTGACAGTCTCATTTGTGAGTTGTGACATATTGGAGCGGCGCACCAAACCGCCGCAACGTAGATCCAATTCATCCAAATCGGTGACATTGATTTGCATCTCCCACAGACGTTTCTCACCGAAGCGTTGCTTGAAATCGGTCACTGTCTCATTGTCATCCGGTTCGATTTCCATGCCCAATTGCTCAATGGGGTCAGCCAAATCTGGATGCATTTGAAGCATAAAATAGGCAGCATCACTGCCATCGGAATGTACCCAACTCTTGGGGTTGTAGTAGACGCTATCGTTACCCGGTTCGCCTGCTGCTTCCACTGATTGTTTGTGGGCAAAGCATCATACATACATTGTGTGGGGGAGGGGTAAAGAAAATATAAAAGAAAATGTAGAGGCACAAATAAACACAATTACATAATTTTATGTACATACGTATGAATGTATGTCTAATAAAAGAGAAAATTCGCAATACAGAGGATTGTTAAAAAAGCGCACACTATACAAGGGGGCACGTAATCTAATGGCGTATGTGCTTGACATGTGTACGCTCTAGTTGCACACATTCATTCAGTCATGTGCAGAAATATAGATAATTTTACACAATTGACATGCAGATACATAAATATACATTTAAAGTCAGTCAATAAAGTTTAGGTACAGCGAATTTTTTACAATACCGGCAACTATTTTTAAAGTATTTTATTTTTCGCTAATATTTTTATAAAAATATGGTTAAATCTACAACAAAAAACCCAAAATAAGAGTTCCAAACCTTAGGCAAAAGTAAAGAAAACTCTGCAAATTTTCATCCAAATCTTGCACTTTGTATTTACACTGTTTAGAAAAAAGTTGAGTATGCATTTTTTTAGCCCATTCAATTTTATTATAATAAAGTGCAAGTTTGAGGTAGCTAGGACTTACCATTGATTTCTAGTATTTTTTTTTGTTGAAGTTCTCGCTCATTTTCTCCATATAAAATAATGTTTGATAATTTTTTTATATGGAAAAAACGTGCGACACCTGCAACAAAAAAATTTGCCGAATATGATAAGTCCTAGCTTCCTAATACTTGTACTTCATTGTACTAAAATTGAATAGGCTAATAAACTGCACACTCAACTCTTTTCTAGACAGCGTAAACCAAAAGTGAAATATTTGTATGAAATTTTGCAGAATTTTCTTTAATTTTGCACAAGGTATGGAGCTCTGATTTTTAGGGTTTTCGTTGTAGATTAACCATATTTTTATCGAAAATGTGCGATAAATAAAATATTTAAAAAATAGTTGCCCATGTTGTAAGAAATTCGCCTAAACTTATTTGACTGACTGTATGTATAGTGTACATACATCCATATGTATATCCTATGCCATGTGTTGGGCCGACCTTCGCCTTCGATTTTTTTATTAGATTCTTTTGACGCTGTGGTCGAATGGAGCAGACCTTCAAACACACACAAGCCACTCTTACCGGCAGTTAAGACTTAAAATAAGTTTTTACGCAGCAGAACCACATTCTGAGCTTTGCTTTTGCCTGCCCGCTGAGCGATCACTTTTAGACAGAACTCTTTCACAAACCAGCCATCGAACTCGGAACTAATCGTTTGGTTTTCTTGCACAAACAACTCAGATGTGACACGCATCATTCGCACATACATACATATATGGATTTACATTAAGGTGGTCTAAAAAAAGTTTACAACGTTAAGCTCTCACCCCTTTTCTTTTTTTATAAATGCAAAAAACGAATGCACATATTTTTCTGTTAAAAAAAAATGTTATATGTAGAACTGTCTCAAAGCCCATGAAGTTTCCATGTATTTTATATGAGGACAAACACTTTTTCGTAGGAATAGAATTCTTGAAAATCAATATTTTTCTATACCATTTCTATGGAAAAGTGTTTTTTCCCATATAAAATACATAAAAAACTTCATAGGCTTTGAGAGAGTTCTAAATATAAAATTTTTTTAACAGAAATATATTCGTTTTTTCCATTTAGAAAAATTCTAGGAGGTGAGAGCTTAACATTTATACTTTTCTTCTCCGCTTGTATTTTGTACCGCCCTAACGTACATACATACACATCCATACAAAAACCAGCATAGAAACATATATTTAATCTCAGCAAACATTTGGAGTCATAAAAGAGTTTTTACGGAGTCCTATTTCGGAGTCTTTACGCTCATTATGAGCTCATTTAAGAATCCGATGTGAGGGTGTTTCCCTTCCTCCAAAGGTCGACTTATATGAGCTTAAATTCATCCATCAAATGAGCCTCAATTTAAGTCATAATGGACTCTTATTGGGCTCATATGCGGTTGATTTTGGTCTCTTTTAACACAATTTTTTGCCCTCATATATGAAACATTTCAGACTCTTTTTAAGGCTCTTATCGGCCTCATATATGACAACATTAGGGCTCTTATTTTAGGCTGTTCTTTGAGTCTAATTGAACGCACTATATTTGCAAAGGCATTCACCTAGGTCTCCTTTCGGACTCATATGTTCTGAGCGCTCAGAATATGTTTGCGGGTATACTTCTATATTGGCAGTAACCTATCTGCGCAATGTGTTTGATTCAGCAATCAAAGGCAGATAGTTTTGAGTCAAATGTACGTTTTGCGCATGCGCAGGTTTTTCATGTATTAGTTTACGCATGATAAAAACATAACAACCCAGCAAACATTTGGAGTCATAAATGAGTCTTTAAGGAGTCCCATTTCGGAGCCTTTGTGCTCATTATTAGCTCATTTAAGAGTCCGAAATGAGGGTGTTTCCCTTCCTGCGAAGGTCGTCCTATATGAGCTTAAGTTCATACATCAAATGAGCCTCAATATGAGTCATATTGGACTCTTATTGGCCTCATATACGGCTCATTTTGGACTCTTTTTGAAGCTCTTAAATGACTCTTATTGGCCTCATAAATGCCTACTTTCGGAGCTCCTTGTATGCTGTTCTGTTGCTCTTATTGGCTTTATTCTTCAACTCTCTTAATGAACTTACTTTAGAGCCACGTTAGCAAGGAATTCATTTCAAATACTGTTGCATATTTATATACAAACCTCTGCGCATACATATATACATATGTTCATATATTGCAGCATTCATGTAATAGCAGTTGCTGCAGCTAAATTTTGTTTATTTTCCTTCCTAATTATTTTTCATATCTGTATAAACAAGTTTAGATATAAATTTCTAGTCGTTATTGTTTTTATACTGACACAAAGTGCTGGCTCATAACTTGGATCATATATGACTCCTAAAAGATTCATATAAGAGTAAAAAAATGTATGTTTTTGAAACTCATATTTCTTACTTACCTAGGACTCCTTTCCGACTCATATATTCTGAGCGCTCAGAATATGTTTGCGGGGAAGGTAAAACCATTGAGAGGTAGTCTGACGTTTGCCAACAATATAATTTTAAAATCAAAACTCAAACTCACACACACATTCTCATTTTCAATCTCAAACAACAACAATTGTGAACAATTTAATTTTTTTATTTTCAATTTTATATGATTTTTAAATGTTGGCAAACGTCAGAACAAAATCATGGCCGACGAATTGAGAGAATGAATTTACCTTGTAATGTTTTTATCATGAGTATACGTATGTAAGTATATGTGACAAATACATTTAGGCGAGTTTGATGTATCCTCAGTAGCGTTTGAAAATAAATTTGAAGAGGATTATCTTACTCTGAGAGGTTTAAGCCCCTTTGTTGACGATGTTTACTTATACAAACTGACACGTTATGATGAAGTATTAAAATTTTATTTTAAAGCTACCAGGAAATTAAAAAAACCATTTTGAAAATGCTTGAAATGGTTACCACTTGATTATTTTGGAATGTTTAGTTAAAACATATATTTCCATTTTTCACTGAGTACAAATTTACTGACTAACCAGGTAAAAACGAATTAAAAACCAGAGTGACTTACACTCAAAATTGTAGTGATCTTTATAAAATATTTGCAATGTTTTTCTTTTGATTTTTTTCGCTATTTTTTTTATAAAAGTAGGCTCATTATCTAACAAAAATTATATAAATCAAAATTCTAAACTTTGTGCAAAAAGTAAAAAATCAACAAAGGTTCATTAGAATTGCAAACTTTTTAGCTAAAATTTCTAGAAATTATTTCATTTATCCGCTCTTTTTGACTTTAAAATATATATTTATGTAATACTCCTATATTGGCAGCAAGCTAACTGCTCAATGTGTAAGCATTCCGAAATCAAAACGAGATGCTTAAAAATCATCTTTGCGATATTTCTACCATTTAATTTATTCATCCATTCATTTTATTTAACCCTGCTTATAAACTGTATGTTTTTAGCAGGCTTTCTAATTGTTACATTTGAGTTTACATGTTTGAGAGTTACATAATTATTCGCAAATGTATTAAAAGTGGAAGTATTTTACGAAGTACTAAAAAATAAAAAATAATTTCATTTATTATAAAACTCATGAAATTAAATAAAAACTCAAAATTCTCTGTAATTTACCTTTAAGGTACCGCCACTGCGATTTGTTTTAATTTCAAGCTTAATTTTTTACATACGATTACTAGGTCTTCGTTTTCTTTTTATGATATATCTGTACTAGGGCTGTGTGATTAATTGATTACTCAAAATTTTAATTAATCATAAAGTAAATAACTCAGTTATTCGATTAATTAGAAGTTATGATTACTCAAAAGTTCATTTACTCGAGTAATCAAGATTTTTGATTAACCAAAAACAAAAATATTTGAGTAATTTGCTTTATGATTAATCAACATTTCGAGTAAAATGAGTAATCAACATTTCAACTCTTTACATATGTATAAAGTAGTTAAAGTTCTTTGATGCTTTGAAAACAACGTTTCTGTTTTCAAAAATTAAAACGAAAATTTTTTTTTCATGCACAGAATGTAAAAAAGAAAATAAGCATTTTCCAAAGCAAACTCTTTTAACGAGCAAAACTATTTTTTTTTGAGTAATCATATTTCAAGTAACTCGATTAATCATCGTTTTGAGTAATCAAAATCTTGATTACTCGAGTAATTGATTAACCGAATAATTGATTAACCAACTTGCTCGAGTAATCGAACAATCGCACAGCCCTAATCTGTACTGTAATGTTTGCTGACTGCGCCTGTAGATACTGCCAATATAGGAGTATTACAAATATGCATTGATATGTTTGAGTTTCGTGTTGAATACTAAAATGGCAATAAGAATGACAGTCATACAAATAAGAATGACAAATGGACAAATATGGGTAGTGAGGCAGAAATTTTGTATGGCAACAGGAATACATCACAACAATAACAATTACATATGTATATGGACAGAAAATATTATTTAGCTACACATACTAAAAGCAATTGCTTTCATGTTTTTAGTGACGTTGACTTGTGGAAAGTTGCGTGTGCTAAAGATATGGAATAATATACAACGATTTAACAAAATTTAAGTAGTAAGTAAATTTTTGTGTTAATTTATTTTCTTAAGACTATTTTAATTGATCTGATTTCTGTTCTATATTTGAAATGTTATACATATATGATTTTCAAGATTTTTTTTTGCTTCCTGAATGCAAATTCCTGGTCATAACTAAGCTTTTCACACTCTGTTGTCATCAGGATATTGCTAAAGTGCATTCAGTTGAATAAGAAATGTTGTGTGTGGATCCCACGCGCACCTGAATTGAAACTTCTTCTATCCCTATTACCCGTATTACAATATTATAAGTGAACTTGTTAAAACGCCAAAATTGAATTAAACATTTTAAACAGGTGGCAACCTTCTTCAAACACCTGAAATTTATTTTAAATATTCAAACTAAATATTTCTTAACAGCCTTTCGTTTGACACCCATAATTTAAAATTTCAAATAACTTCTGCATAATATAATTTAATTAAAATTTTCAAACAGATGGCAATTATCTTTTTAAGTTTCGCGATATTTCGAATAAAAAAAGAAGGCGCCTGTTCCAAGATGGGCTTGAGAAACTTAAATTTAGATGTCGTTACCGGCGCCTGAAATTTTAATTTTTCACTAACTTCAAAAAAAGGATTTTTCGATAACCATGTTTTTGCAGGAAAAACAATGTGGTTTCTATACCACAATTTAAAGCACGTAATACCGAATTTTCGGAGCCGGTATATACATATGCTTTCCGAACATTTATACGTCCTTAACATAATGGCAAAAGCCTTACAGGAAGATCATTATTTCGGTCATTTGCGCAAGATATTTGAATTTTAAGTTTGTGAATGAAAAAAATGCAAATTTTAACAAGGAAAAAATTTTTAAATAATTTTTTTTTTTGTAAATTCTTTTGATTCGTGTAAAACCCTGCCCTCTTACAAAAACATAGAGCTATCGACGAAATAAATTGATTGATAAATAAAGTTGTAAATGGTCAAAGGAAAATGCGCTAAAATTTCGTTTTTATGATTTCATTAATAGTTATTGGCGCCGTAACCACGATTTTGGCCCGAGTCCAAAACAGCACGTCAGTAATTTCTCTTCTATGCCAAGTGAAACCAAGTACTTCTCCAAGTCAAGATTTGTATGATTTTAAAAAACCGGTTTGTTTGACCCAAAAAATTCTGTTTGTTCTATATTCCAAAAATGCAGGTTTCAATAAAACTACCTATAGATATCCAAAAAAACGGTGGAAACCGGTTTAAAAAAAAAACCTGAGTTAATCACTCTAAACTCGAGCTCTTCTTATGCGATAGGTGGCTTTGCTCTCCAATAATGGAGTTCAAGGGTTGAGAGGCCTCTGCTATTTAGTCGTTGTAACCTATACTAAGAATTTTTGCTTTACAAACCGTTTTTTTTTTTCTTTTCAACGACATTTTCGCATTGGCCAACGCAAAAGTTCTTATCAACCGCCCCGAACCAAGCGGAAATTGGCTAGTTTTCACGTAAAAATTATACAAATTTTGTGCAGAAACTATTCAAAGAGGCTATAATTTTCAATTTTAAAGGCATACTCTTCTTTATTATGGTCAATATCTCGACAAATCCTTTAACAAAAAAATTTTGCAATCAAGTTCGATACACATTGTACACTCAAGTGGGAAATTTGAAATGCGTAGAGTTTGTTATTTTCACGCCTGGCTTATATTTCTGTTTTGTTGTGTTTATGCATTCATACTTTGTCACTTTTCATGCTTGCACTCGCACTCGCATTCACACGAACTTCCATTCACACACACACATACACACATTACATGTCACTTCACACTTTAGAAATGCACTAGACTACATCAATTGTCCATTTTACAAGCGTTTATGCATTCATTTATTCATTTCATAAATACAAATAAAGCCACAACAAGGCAGATATATGTACACATATATATGTGCATACTTACATGTATAATCTGTTAGCATCAGGGTAGCCAACTCATTTTTGATAATTCCCCGATTTCGACTATGAAATTCCCCGACTTTGCCCGAAATTTCTTAAAATTCCCCACCCACAGATATCTTTTTATTTACAAAAAAATTATGTATTTTGATGTATCGCTAGTCATTCTGTTTATTTTGTTAACATAGAATAAAAATGTCCATATAATATTTCCATACAAACAGTGGTCCAGTGGTATTTTTGGTCTAATTTGATCGTACTATTAGTCGCACCAAATTTTAAAAATTTAGAAACTTATTATTTTTATATTTTTTTTAATTAATATAATTGTTATAAGGCCAAAAAATAACAAAAACAAATAACTTACGAACGAGCACACCTAAAAGTTAAACATTCTAAAAATAGAATTATCAGCAAAAACCAACAATACTAACAACCACATGATCAAGTGAATTGCAGCGGAATAGCTGCGCTTGATTGTGTTGGCATAACAAAAATGAAAATAGTGGAAAAAAGCAAACGATAATTTACAAGGCGTACTTAGCACGGTGCATAGGCAACTGGCTGAGTCAGTGGGATCGTCGGTTCGAATCCTACTGAAAGAAGTCTGATGAGGAAATGTGGTGATTTCCGAAATAGCTATCACTTCTACCACTTTTTCAAATTATTGTTGCTTTTTCATAATAAATTTTCATTTAAAAAATGACCTCGAGCTCAATATAAATTGTTGAATATAATTGTTATAAGGCCAAAAAAAAGAAAAAAAAAACAAAAACAATTTTTTTTTTGTTATTTAATTTGAATTATTTTTGAGAAGAATAGAGTTCATTCTTTAACAAAAAGCGTTCAAATCCAAGTTTAAAACTTTGTACAATATTAAAAAAAAAATCAACAAACTTTTGTAAAAATTTTGAGCTTTTTAATTTAAATAAAGAATAAAAATGTACGTATAATATTTACACACAAATAATGGTCGAAAAAAATTTAGTCGCACCAAATTTTGACAAGTTGTTTTAAAGTGAATTATTTTTTATAAGAATAGAGTTCATTCTTTAACAAAAAGCGTTCAAATCCAAGTTTAAAACTTTGTACAATAAAAAACACACCTGCATACGGCACATTCCACGGTGACGAGTGTGACATCTCAACTTATATTTTTTTAAATCATTATGAAATAAAGGAAGCAAAAAAGAAAAAAAATTACACCTAATTCTTCACAATAAACAGTTCATCCCCCGCTTACCCATGTAAACTGAAATTCCCCACAAAACACCGTCCTTTCCCCGATTCCTCCCGCTGTCTGAAATTCTCCGCAAATCGGGGAATTCCCCATGAGTTGGCTTCCCTGGTAGGCATGCACCCACTAATCATACATACATACTCGTGTGTGCATATGTACTTGAAACGACGAAAGGACAGAAGGGACGGTCAAACTGAACGACAGAGTACACATGTTTTTCGCACATAGTAAATTACTTGCATGACTGCATAGAAATGCATGTACATACATATGTGGCACTTAGAAATGTCCATATAGACATACATATGTACACACATTTCGATCGCAAATAGTTAAGCAAACAAACGGGCAAGCAAAAAGTCACACTGAAAACCCAACCGACAGGCAGACAAAGCTAAAGGCAAGCAGGTCATAAAGTAAACTTGGCAGTCATGGCAACACAAGTGCAAATACGCACACGCACGCCCGGAGCAAGTAAGAAAGCACACAAGCACGCAGGGTAGCTTTCGGCTGTCACTTACAATTCCATCCCTGCTCCAACTCTGACAAGGCCGAAGAAGACGTCACCATTGTCGCTGGCATATTAAGTACATCTTGGAAACGGGCCACTGAGCTGGGTGTTGTAAAAGCGGCCGCCGCAGCTGCCGCTGTCTCAGCACGAGCGGCTGCCGCTGCTGCTGCTGCCGTTTCAGCAGCTTTAGTGGTTGTGCTGCGCACTATAGATGTCACCAATGATGGCGGGGTCGGTGGCGAAAGCGTAGGTGAAGATGAAGACGTAGGAGTCGCGGATAACGATGGATCCATCCATGTTGCTGCGTCTATGGCTGTGGCTGTTGATATTGGAGTCGGTGTTGGTGTTGGTGACTCAGCGGTGATTGCCATTGTTGCTGTGCTTGAAATTACGCTCATTGTTGTTGTCCTTAGTGTAGTTGTTGGCGCGCGTTGCGTTGTCGAATAGTAATCGGGCGATGGACCATATAACGAAGGCTTCGCTAGCAAATTTGTTTGTTGCTGTTGCTGTTGCTGCTGCTGCTCTTGTAACAGACAATAATCCGCACATTGACTCACAGCCAAATCAAGCTCCGGCTCCTCAGGGCATTCGCGGCTGGGGCACGGTGACCACCAGACCTGCATATGAAAGAGTAGAAAAAATAGTGTGAGTAGTTATAGTTAAGTAGTAAATACTTGCACGTTTCTTCATATTTATGTATGTATGCATGTGTGGATGTTTGTGGGTGTAGCAAAAGGAAGAACAAGCATAGCGTGTTGAAAAGCCTGTGTTCGACAACAATGTAAGTATTTTTGGATTGCTGCGCAAAAAAGGAACGCAGAATGATGAATGACAAGTGGTGAATGGTAAGATATTTTTTATACGTATGTAGGTATGTGCATTAGGCTGGAACAAAAATGCTGGTGAGAAAAGTATAGTCGGAATTTTAATGCTCTCACCACCTAAGATCATTCTATGTACACAAAATATACACCTAATTTTTTTATAAAAAAAAATTTAGAGGTTTTTAGGGGATAAAAGATGTTTAGTAAAAGATATTTAGTAATAAACAATAGTTAAATAAAGAATTGGCTATTATTCCTCGAAGTCTTCTAAAGAGAAACAAAGTTTGCCGATTCAAAAATAAAGGATTTTATTCATTTCTACGAAAAAAATTCTTCCCCATATAGAATAGACGAAAAAATGTCAGCGCTTTGGGCGACCTCAATTTATTGATTAAAAAAAAACAAGGGATATTTTTTTCGTTAAAGAATAATCCTAAGTGTGACAGCATTAAAATTCTGGCTTTATTTTCTTTGGACCACCCTAATGAACATAAATTCATATTTACAGAGAATGTAGAAAATTGGTGCAGTCCACCAAGTCGGGTGCATTCACATTTGTAGACAATTGTGAAGAAAATAAAACAAAAAAGCATTCTGTGCAGTATTGAATTTTTCTCTTCAAATTGGCTGTTTTAAATTTCAGAAAAATAATCCTAATTCTACGAACGTTATTAAAAAAAACTTAATTTCGAAAATATTTTTAATAAGGCTTGCCACCTTTTTAAAATCAAATTCCTTTACTCAATAAGTTATACAAAGTATGATAATGTGGTTCCCAAATAAGATTTAAGATAGATATATTTTGAAAATGTTTTTGAAGAGGATTGCCACCTTTATATAAACTAAATTTTATTTAATTTACAAGTTAAACACAAACTTACAATACGAACGTCAATCTAAAGATAATCATCCTTATAAGAAAGCTTTGTTTCAAAAGCATTTTTAAAAAGTGTTGCCACCTGTTAAAAGACAAATTTCACGTAATTAATCAATTAAATCAAATATAAGGACATATGTACATGTCCAACAAAATATGTTTATATGTAGTTGGAAAAATTTATTACAAAGGGTTGCCACGCTTATATAAGTAAAACTTCATTGTTTAATGAGTAATACAAAATATTATGATGTGGGTCTACGGCAGACACAACGGCAGTCTAGGCGGGCGGTAAAAAAATATATGGTTTCACGAGTTGTAGGTGGGGTCCACGAAAATTTATCTGGTTTCCATAGTAAAGAATAAAAATGTTTGCTTAGCTTTATCTACCAGTGTAGGCAGATGTACTCAAACAAATTATTTAGATGAAAAATGGTCGTGTTGGGGCTTAAAAAAAAATGAAGCATTACTGTTCTAATTTTCAGATATCTTGGCTAAGGTTCTCATGTCAAGAACAAAATATGTCTTTTCTTCTTTTTTTTGGTCCACGGCCTTGAATAATGGATCAGATAGCCTCTTTAATCAGCATTTATTTCCTTTTTTTAAAATCTCACTTATATTTTTTTTTAGTAGATAAAGAGGTTGTTCATACTTACCTGGTTATCAGGTTATGTGGCTATATTTTTATTCGGTTTACAACAATAAATTACACTACACAATAATAATTTTTACCAGATAACCAGGAAAGTGTGAACAACCTCAGTGTATTTTAAGACAGACATCGCAAAAATAAGACTTACATCTTCCCTCTCACAACAACAACTCAATTCAAGGGCAGTCAAATTTGATTATCTCTTTTGTGAGTTAAAAAAAGAAATACCGCTATTCAACTAAATTTATCTTTAATACAACTCAGTTTTTTCGCCTCTATATTTATCTCACGCTCTCAAGGCATTCAAAATGTTACTCCTCATAAAATAGCGTTATGTCTCTTTTTCTTATATAGCTTTCATAAAGCAGTAGTTTTAGTGGTTGATAAACTCATTAAAGCAGCAGGAGGGCTTATTGAGCAATTATTTTATGTATGCTCTAAAAAATCTTAAATTTTACTGTCAAAGCTGGAAGTTCGCCGCAAAATTAGGTATTTTCGCTTAAAACTTTTTGAAAAAAAGGCCAATGTTCCGATGCCCAAGACGATCTATATGAGATTATTGTTTTTACCACGAGATGGATGGTATAAAATTGGTTAAATTTAGATGCTTCCTGACGGCATATTTTTTATTAGATTTCGCTTTAACTCTTTTTATACCCGAGCGCACTTGTGCACAAGGGTATATTAATTTTGTTCACATAACGGTTGTTTGTAACAGCCAAAACGAATCGAGATAGAAATAGACAAATGTATACATAAATGATCAGGATGAAAAAAGAAATCGATTAAGCTGTGTCTGTCTGTCCGTCCGTCTGTCCGTCTGTCCGTCCGTCCGTGTACACGATAACTCGAGCAAAAATTGAGATATCTCAACGAAATTTGGTATGTAGGCTTCCCTTAATCCAAGGTAGGTTGGTATTGAAAATGGGCGAAATCGGACTTTAACCACGCCCACTTCCCATATAACGGTAATTTCCAGAAATACGAAAACTGCGATATTTTAGTAACTAATGAAGATAATTCACTCAAAATTGATATTTATAATAAGTTTTAGACGAAAAATAATAATATTATAAATTTTTGGAAAATGGGCGTAGCCACGCCCACTTATGGTTACATGTGTATATCTTGGTAACTGCTGCACCAATTTCCTCCAAACTTGGCACAATTGTTGGCCTTCGCACAACATACGAAATGGCTGAAAATTTTTAAAATCGCTCAATAACCACGCCTACTTCCCATATAACGGTAATTTAGAGAAATACAAAATCTTCGATAAATCAGTAAATATTGAAGCTAATTTATTCAAAATGGATTCTTGCAACAATTCTTTACCAAGAAATACGTTTATGGTAAAATTTTGGAAAATGGGCGTGGCACCGCCCACTTATGATCACATATAAGTATATCGGTAACCGTTCTACCAATTTGTACCAAACTCGGTGTGGTTATTGTGCTTGCCACATATAAGCAAAACGTTGAAAATTATTGAAATCGGACTAAAATAACGGCCGCTTCTCATGTAACGGTAAATTTCAGATATGCTTGAAACTTCAATATTTCGAAATTGAAGGACGCCAATTTACTCAAAATTGATACACCCCGGCTTACCATCTAGCGGAAGGTTTCGGAAAGGTGAAAAAACATATATTTAATACTTGCGCCGGGTATTTAATGTTCGGCTCCGCCCGAACTTAGACTTTCTTACTTGTTATTGGATAAATTATCTTTACAAAAATGCCAATTTTTTCGATCTATGCCGACTAAGGCGGCACTGAGTGACGAGTCAAACATTTCTTTACTGCTATTTAGATTTACAACAAAATCTGCGATTAGTAAGTAGATTCTTCGAAAAAAATGTCAACATAAAACGATAAACTTGGTATAAAAACGCAAAGATGACATATTGATCCCATAACAATGCAATGAGCACTGCACTTGCCTGTTAGCATAGTACAGAATCGTACAAAAAAATTTGTTGAATGCAAAAATATCGATGCTGCGCCAAGTCCATATCAGCATTGTACGACTGCCATGAAATGCATATGAATACGCTTACCATGTGTAAAACATGCTATATCAAGATAACCTGGCAACTGCTTGTGCAATAAATTTGTATTCATATACATATAAATAAATACATGTATTTGCATACCTACATACTATATATATATGGGTCAATCTATGTCAAATCGATCAATCGTTGGAATCGGCCATTTTCGATTTGAGCGATTTTGGTCAGAACTTTTCTTTTACAATATAACGAAGTTCTGCCACGCAAAAAAAAAATTTTAAATTTCAAAAGATCAAAATTTCAAAATTACCCGGATTTACCAAGTTTATTTATTGAATGTCTCATAAACTATTATAGTTAAAAAACTGGTTCGAGTCTGGTTTTAAAGTTTATAGTTGAGGTTATTTAAATAAAATATATATCTTAAATAAATCGAAAAATAAAAATTACAGAATTTTGAAATTTAAAAATCGTTAAAGCAAAACTTGGATAAGTTGTGGGCTAAATTTTTTTAAAACAATAATTCTAAAAGATGCAGATTTTTTTTGAACATTGCAAATAAAATTTTTTCACAAACCCTAAATTCAAAATAAGTTTTTCTTAAATCAAAACTGTTTAATATAACCTTATTTTCAGTTTGCAATAAAAAAAATTAAAAAATTAAAGCTCAAAATTCATATCTTAAAAAA